CATGTTTGGTGTGACGGGGATTCGACCCCGCGACCCTCAGATTGCGAGTCGAGTGCCTTAACCACCTGGCCATGCCGGGCCTTATTCAAATAGACCACGTGATTATTTAGTTTTGTAGCAGCCATATGTTAATAGAATGCCATTTTTTTGGAACAAAGTTATCTCATAACATGGATAATAAACAAATTCAAACACTTTATTTCTAAGAAAACAATGGTGTGAAATCACACATTTTGGGATGTGACTAAAATAATGCTGGGAAAAAAGCTTTCTTTTGCTTGTTTGTTTATGAATTTCGCGCAAAGCTACACGTGGGCTATCTGCGCTAGCCGTCCCTAATTTAGCAGTATAAGACTAGAGGGAAGGCAGCTAGTCATTACCACCCACCGCCAACTCTTGGCTTACTCTTTTACCAACGAATAGTGGGATTGACCGTCACATTATAATGCCCTCACGGCTGAAAGGACGAGCATGTTTGGTGTGACGGGGATTCGAACCCGCGACTCTCAGATTGCGAGTCGAGTGCCGTAACCACCAGCCCATGCCGGGCCTACCTTCTTTTGCATTCTTAGAAGTGTAAATTCTCACCTATTTACCGACAAGGGGTGTTAATGTTGAAACTTATTCAAGTACTACTAGAAATAATATTTCAACATAAAACAATTCTCTCACAAACATCAGTTTACAAAGCCAATTAAATCTACTGTAAAAATATTATGTTGTGACTGTTTTCATAGTTATGATCGATATTGCCTTGCGGTATTTTTCTCCATATTTAATGGTATACAATGACTAAACATTGTATTACAAAAAACAAATCAGTAAAATATAAGTTTATTTTTCCTATAGTGCAGCTTTCACATGACAGCATCAAATTAGCATATTACTCTGATAAAAACTGAATCCCTTCAGACTTAGCATGCTCATTATATAAAAACAACTACTTGATTAACTCAATGGAAACCAGATGCTACATAGGAGTATTTTCCCCTCATTTTCATAATTAATGAAATAGAATAAGCAACATACGACATGCTACGTGATTCTTGGTTATGTTACCTCTTTACTCTTATAGATTTTTAAACATTCCCAAGTTAATTAGTATTTAACTGAATGTCAAAGTTTTTGTAAAAGCAATTTTCGTTCTTAATAATGGCGGTTTCCTTAGAGATTTCTGTGCAGAATACTCTTATGCTCTCGATTTTTTCCCACAGATTTACTTGTAAAAACATACAAAAGACAGCTTGTCAGTACTTATAGCCCAATCTTTTGAAGTTTGATATATATAACATCTTATACTCAAATCTCCTAATAGCTAGGTGTCCAGAAGTTAGGAGTTTTCTACATCTCGTGACGCCCAGATTGACCCGCAGTTTCAACTAGGGCGTTAATCATCGTGCTACATATAGAATACAAATATCAAAGTGCCAAAGGGAGCTATCAATCCTCTCTATATAGTATATACTGACAGTTATAGATTAATGGATCTCTGTTAAAATGGTGCGTCACAACCATACGATGTTTGTTGATGGTAGAAATCATTAAACAAATATCATAAGTAAGTTAAACCCTAAAATTTCACTAGAAATATTTCTTCTAATCAATGACGGTAAGACTTAATCAGACTTGTATGTATCTTTAGTGTAATCTGTTCGTTCTACTTTTACGTTTAATAATTATTTTTAGGTCACAAGGTTTTGAAATAAAAGCGATTAAAGATCGCCGATATGCAACATATTAAGCCATTTGCATTATTATATTTGTCTTCAGATGTCTGATAAAAACTGAACAGACTCATTTTAAAAAGGGTTTTCTGAACAGATCCATTTTGAAAAGGGTTTTCATAGCTGATTCTGCCTTTAAACAATTTTACCTGCACTCAGTAAAAAGTAACAACTGGAAAAAAAGTTGCCGTGCTTCAAAAATTGTAGGCCAGATGGTTAGGGCGCTCGACTCGCAATCTGTGGGGGCGTTATAATGTGACGGTCAATCCCACTATTCGTTGGTAAAAGAGTAGCCCAAGAGTTGGCGGTGGGTGGTGATGACTAGCTGCCTTCCCTCTAGTCTTACACTGCTAAATTAGGGACGGCTAGCGCAGATAGCTCTCGTGTAGCTTTGCGCGAAATCTATAACAAACCAAACCAATCAAAATTGTATAGTATTACTTCATTGCTCGCTTTTAAAGTATGAAAATTCAGGTGAAAATGATATAATATGTTATATATAAGATACTTTTGCTTGCATAAATTCAAAAGGGCACTTTCCACCAATATTTAGTAAATGTTTTCCGTCACATGGGATATGATTCACTAAAATAAAGATAATACGAAACAGTAGTATCAGCTAGACAATATCATATCTGTTCAACGTGACTACAGTTCCTATAAAATAGAATTTGCTTCTGAAACCTCTTTGGGAACTAAAATCTTGAACTTACCAGAAATAAGAACAGTCATAATCATACGGACTATTTGAAATATTTTTCAGGAATGAAATATAAACACAATAAGAACAAAGGAGCCAAAAAATATTGAAAAAATACTTATTAATTTTCAATATAAAAAAATCACAATCATAAATAATATTCAACGTTAAACTGGTACACAATTAACGTTGAATATTATTTATGATTTTAACTTGATACACAAGTGCCAAAATACTATCACAATCATGTTGGAACATAACGTTAAATACATGAGAATTTGGGAATGGTCAAAGAGTTATCTCATTCAAAGATTTATAGGAAGTGTTAACATCGAACGCTAACTATTATTATTTCCCAGTGAAGCTCGCATTATGAATATAATATTGGCTAAAATGTTGCATATTTTGTAACAAATAAGATCATTATTATTAAGATGGAATACAAATACAATTAGCACTGTTAAACTGAGTAATGCGTGTTATATTAAACATCTATATATATGTGTAATTTGTATAATGAGAAGGTTCTATGGAGATCATGAATGATTTATTAGAACACAAAACAATTTTCTCAGACACCTGTGGAAAGACGTGTAATTCAGAATTTCACCTATCACAACAAAGCCTTACCAAAACATATATAATGAGTAAATATAACAACAATGTATTATAAATAGCGTCTATAACCTTATATCAGTTCATATTAAACATTCAGTACGTGGTTGGTCCAAGGCGATGTGGGTTTTGATGTAATCCATCGTGATTTTATCCCAAACTGTCACTAGAAGACGCTGCAACTCAACTACAGTAACTTGTTTAGGGTCGTGGTTCGCAATTTTCTGGCTCAGTTCTGCCCAACATTTCTTAATGGGATTACAATCTGGATATATTGCTGGCCATGGCAATCTTGTAACAACCTCTTGGTCGAGATAATCTTGTACAATACGCGCACTGTGGGAATTGTAATCCTGGAACACAAATTTATTGCCAAAATTTTCCCTAGCATGTGGCAGAAATATCGTCTCCATGTGATGCCTGTAGGAGGAACCACTGACGTTTCTCTGGAGGATATGAAGAGCAGTTTTCCACCATTGTGAATAGCTGCCCAAACATGTACTGCACCAGTTCCTGTGTGAAAAACAGTCTTCCCTCTTCTGTTCTCCAGGCAAACGGCGAACACTAATCCTACCATCAGCTTTTAAAACCGGAAATAGGACTCATCTGAAAAGATGACTTGTCGCTAGTATCCTAACTGTAAGATGGCATGCTGTCTTCCCCAAGTAGCATGGTGACAGCGGCGAATTCTGGTTCATATCGGTTTACAGACAGCCCTTGTTGGAAAATAACCTTGTTTGGTCAGTCTCCTCTTCACTGTTCTTCTGGATACCCTGGAATGAATGTGTTCATGCCATTCCTGTTGCATACCTAAAGCTCACCCTTTTATACAAAATAGGTGTGTATGTGTGTGTTTTGACGAACAAATACTCAAAACAACTTGTACAGACCAAAATAACAACTCGTGCATGTTTGGCTGATCATACACTACCTTCTCTGTTACTACTTGGGCATTTATTGAATAAATACTCCCTGCATGTAGACAATAATATCAATATAGAACAGTATGCAAACATTTTGACTAAGAGTGCACTTTTGAGGACTTAAAATTTACAGCTTTTATTTGATTTCTTAACATTGCTATTTTGTGAAGTCTTTCCCCTATTAAAGTGTAAACAAATCAAAAAGAAATTCATATAGCACAAATTACTCTTGGCTTAGGATAATATTTAATTAAAGCTACTGGTACATAGATTGTAATTCATTATACATGCTCGCTAGTGATGTAATTAATTATCATTATCTGATCTTTGTTTCCTACACAAATAACTGGAGCTAATGGAACGTTTCTGATCGCTTTTACGAAACACCTGCTTTAACTCTAGTATTCCACTCATTAATTAACTGTTGATTTTCCGTGTTTTAGTTATATGAAGCTCACCATGTTACTAGAAACATTTTCAGCCACTACTTCAACCTGCAGGTAACGGTGCTTTATAGTTAAGATGGAAATTCACCAATCATTAAATATACGCTTTAACAACATCGACTAATTTCATCTTTCTTCGATCCTGGCGCTGCTTAATTACAAAGAAATTCGCAATATTGAACTGTAAAATTTGTAGCATAAGAATGGATTGGGCGTAAATTTTGTTCTTATATTTACCTTTGTTCTTTCTTTTTCGTTACTATAGAGCGAATTAATAATGTTCTCCCAAACTCGTTTCAAAAGTGAAAAGAAACTTTGCGCTTAACACAAATGAAAAGTTCTAAAAGATTAAACACACAAAGATATTAAAGGTGAGCATTAGAGCAAATTCCTTGTGATCCTCATCTCTTACTTCGATACAATAAGCTTATCGGTACTTGGATCTGTAGTAATAAAGGGTTTCATGCGAGATACAAGACGTTTTTACTCAATACAATTATAATTACGAAAGAACCACGAGCGTGATATTGTTCTTGTGATTTACGTCAAACTACAATTACGAACTTCAAACCAATTGCTTCCTCTCCTTGCAAGTCTTCTAGAAATGCGTCACTGTATCATGTTGTTTTAATTGCTCGGGTAGTATGTTCTAATCAATTCATCTTGATCATAACACTGAACCTAAACAAAGTAAAATACATTCAAAATCCAAAGCGCTGGAAATATTTTATTATTATTGTTATTATTACTTAATTAGCTAGCTTTGTGTTGTTGTAATCTAGGTAAATTGGAATCCCAGCTACACATGTATATTTGTTACATACAGCTTTCATACGATATTTACTTAAATTTATCAAGGGCTAAATCAAAGAAAACAGAGCTTACTTGACCATATAAAGAATAGTTTTATCATAATATAACCAGATGTAATGATTGGGAATAGTCATTTCTTGAAAGGTGACCTTCTTAGCGTTCTTGAAGAAAGAGTCCGGTCGCCACATCCGTTTTAACCAACTCACAGGGAGAAGTCGGTAATAGTTGGTCATGTTTTCTGGAAGTCGAAGTCGGTAATCCTTCCAGCTTTGAGACATAAAAATGTCTGCTACGTAAGTCTGAAGGACGGAGAAAATGAATGTAGGATGAAAAAAAAAACATTTTGAAAAATCCAGTCAGTACATTTGTTTGACACTAGATAAAGATGTCTTCCAGATACTTATATAGAAGACGTAAATAAACTAACAGTAGGAAATAATGTGTGCGCTTATCCTTTTATGGCTCACTTTTTAAGGATATAATGGGCATAAAAATACATGCGTGACTTTCAATATCGTCCCCACTGACCATTATTAGCACATTAACAGTTTCATATATATCACGG